ATACAACTACTTTGAAACTTTGTATTTTTAAATTATTTCAAATGCACTGAATATTCACAAGAATAGGGCAGAGTTCCCATCTATCTTTTAGCAGATTCACCAGTTATTATTTTTTGAAAACAATTGCTTACTATTTATGTCTCTCTTATGTGTGTGTGTATATATATATATGTATACCAGATGGATTTCTGTGGCTTTCCCATATGACTCATATGGAATTACTGAGTTCCAAACCATATTCCCCTTATCATGATATACACATTGCCTCACTGTATAAGCTATTCTGTGACACTCAAAAGCCTGATTTTGTATGTCTGTGGCTAAGGTGTTATTTCTCTTCCTGAACACCTCTGGCATTCTTTGTCTTTGAAATTCAAAATATCAGCTATTCAAAACCAAGTATTTGGACGTTTTTGTGGTTGTTGTATTTCTACTGTGATGGTGGCAAGAATATTTTATCTGAACAGTAAAGCTATTCTTCAACTTAAGAAAATTCATTCATTTCTCTGATTGCCTCATCCATCTTTCTGGAATGCCTTTTAGTCATAGTCATAATCCATCTATTCGATCTCCATTACCTATATCTCATATAGGTTTTCTTAGGTTACTACTACACAAGTCTTAAAAAACAAAAAACAAACCCACTGCCATCCAGTAATTCCTACTCATAGAGACCCACTTTGGGTTTCCAAGGTGGTAAATCTTTATGGAAGTAGATTGCCTAGTCTTGGTTCTGCAAAGTGGCTGGTGGATTTGAACCACCAACCTTCTGATTAGCACTCAGATGTGTTAGGCAATGTGCACCCAGAGCTCCACACAGGTCTTAGAGCTGTTTAGTCTGAGTATATGCATACTCAGTCTTAGGATATGCTTATACTCTAATAGTCTCCTGAATCCTTGTCAAGAAAATGATCATGCATCACATGTTGGTGAAATATCTTGCCTTGCTTTATGATTTCCTAAGTCTATTTCTCTTTAAATACTTTTTACTAACATGCCTGAATCCTTTACACACAGGTTATCTCCTGCTAAAATTAGTAACCTCTGGTTACTAATATAATCAGCAGCCATCTTTCCCACACTTCTAATGTACAGTGCTAAGAAAATTTTGGCAGGTCAGAAAAAGCAAAGTTTTTAAAGTTTGTTATTTGTAGAACTTGGCAGAGTGAGGGAAACCTAACCTAATTTATTCAGAGAAGAAATATTCCTTTTACTCTGGCACTTATTACCCCTAGTTGTCGGTCCAGGATGGGCCTCAGGCAGCAACACCAGGAAAAGTCACTGTGGACTTGATTCAACCACACAAGGATGTTGCACGTGAAGTGATGCCATCTATGTGTGCACAGGGACAAGAAGTGTTGAGATTCTCCACGGGTAAGAGTGCCACATGCAGCCAGGTTGAGGTATCAGGGTTGGGCTAGGCTCTCGTCAGAGTTTGTAGAAACCACAACAATAACATGTATAGAGTTGTTTTTTAAAACAACAATCTTCTCCCTGATTCAAGAACACATCTAGGACCGTACATTCCATCTGCCTCTAATGTCTCTTGAGTTGCCTTTAAGTGAGAATGATTACTCAGCACTTCTTTGCTGTTGCCATGTTTGAAGAGCCCACCACAATTTTTGATATCATGTCCATCATTTAGGGTGGTTTGATGTTTTCTTGCAATTCAAATCAGGCTATGAATTTTGGCAGGAGAATTGACTCCTGACTGCATTATATTAGGAGGCACATGTCATTAGTTTTGTTTGTTTGTGTTTTAACTTTTTATTGTGTTTTGGGTGAAGTTTTACAGAACAGATTAGTTTTCCATTCAACAGTTCATACACATTTTGTTTTGTGACAGTGATTACAGCTCCTGCTGTAGCAGCCTTTTTTCCACTTCCTCCCTGTGTCCTTTTACTTATGCATTTCTCCCTTCCTAGCTTCCAGGAAAGAAAAACAAAAAACAAACAAACAAAAAAAAAACCTCATTAACATCAAGTTAATTCTGAGTCACAGAAACCTCCATTGGGTTTCTGAGGTGGTAAATGTTTACAAAAGTAGATTGTTCCATCTTCTTTTGTTCCATCTTCTTTCTGCATAGGGGCTGGTGGATTGGAACCAACAACCTGCTGGGTAGCA